CATTTTCACCATTATTATTATCATCATTATCACTATTATCATCATTATTACTATCCATATCACTACAATTCATCATTACTACTACCATTTGGTTCCTTTTGCCATCATTTCCACATCAATTTGTATTACATATAAATAGTCAACAATTTGATTGTGATATTTTGAATCCAAGATGTCGAGAATACTATCGACAAATGACTTATACTCAACAAATAATTATAACTTGAAACGATTTCTGGACGACTGATTTTCTTTGTATACGGAATTTCACAAATTCTAGGTTTGAAATAATGGTTAATCAGTTGGTTGTGTTGGATTCAGCAGCGGTTAATACTTTCTTGACAACGATGTTTTTGCGCCACATCTCAAACAGAGCATGTCAAACAGTTGTATATTCATGCTTACTTGGCCAGTACAATTTACCACACGTACTTCAAGTTCATAATGTACAAGAGCTTCCGAAGCACGATGTTCAGGCAATTGTTTTGTTATCATTTTTGTCAATTTTATAAAATGCCTTAGGTCCCATTGTGAAATTGAACTTATTTTGTTGGTAAAATGAACTTGAGCTACCTTACATTACTGATGTTTTCAAGGAATTTGAGATAATTTTCATTTTTCAAATTAGCATCCATTGGTGCTTGTGCAGTTGAATTAAGTTGGCTTCTAAATTATGTAATCTTAATTGTAATTTCATTAAGTTTAGGTAAGAAAATTCTATCATCATTCTTTGTAACAGAGTGGCTCCTTTTAAAAAATATTTTCTTCCCTTCCAAAGATTTCTTTTCTTTTTATTGAACGGAAAATGAAAATATAATTGCTTATAAATTCTCGAGTTCCTGGTTGAATTCATTGCAGCTTATCGTCGTTTTGGGCCCGTTGCTTCTGGGAAGTGTCAAGGAGTGGATACAGAATTTGTGGCCATCAGCTCATTTGATTTGTATAGAAAAATCGCCAGAGCTCATCAAAAATGAGCATACTTTGATGGTTGGTGTTGGAACTGATAATGATATTTGTAAGTTTTTCCTTAGGTTTTTTTAATCACAGGGTCTAAACAAGTTTTTCAAGATCAATAACAGTTAAATTAAAAATTCATTCATCCCTAACGCTTGTAAGCTGCCTTCATTTATTTGTTATCCATATTATATCAAAAGATATCAAGCTTATCTTCGACTTTCATCTGTGGGTATTCGGCACACTTTTAACTTACATAGTTTCAGTTGACTTATTGAATAAAGTCAGCAGATACATAATTTATTAACGTGATTTCATTCTACATGCAATAAATTATTTTAGTCATACTTTACAAATGTTATTGAATTGATCTCATTTAGAAATTAATCAAAATTGCTTCATATTACAAAAACTACTTCAAACGTATAATCATTGCTTGATATTGTAGCCCTAAAACAAAAGAACTCAAATAGTTTGCGTGGTGTCGCAGATATTGGAATACCATTTGCATGGATGGATGCTGATTCTGCTGCATGTCTTTCACATGCGTTTGCCACACAAAATATTGTTTTATGTTAAAGGCATTATTGATCTGCTGGGTTGCATCAAAAATTTTGCTTTATTTTTCTACTAAGATTTTGTAGATTGTAACCGCATTGAATTATCGTGATTTTGTGCATTGTAATGGTTTAAATTAGTTTCCATCTCTAAATTTATGGTTATTTTGTATTTCCGATTGTATCCCAATAAAATAGTGACATAAATTAGCCTTTATTTTACTGTCATATCACCTCTTAATGTCTTTTTTTGCAGTTATCTTGAATGTAGATTCATATTTACCCCATTAGACATATTGCCAAACACGAAGTCGTTCTTGTCAATATCTTAGAATGATATCAGATGCCCAGATTGGTGATTCTATAGTTTATCACAGATTATTAGCGGTGATTGTGTATCTCAACTGAGCTGTTTGCTTATATCCCTTAGTGTTTTATTAACTGAGTAACTGTATTGCTGACGTTTTGTTGTCTTCATTGTGTTATTGACGTTAGCAAATTTCATTTAATATTTTTTTGCAGAGTGCTGTATCGCTTGAAAAATTTCAATTTCTAGATAAAACTGAACACTCTTTCAGTAAAACGTCTATTTATATTGTGTTTTCTGCAAACAAAAAAAAAGTGCAGTTCGAATTTCTTCTATCAAATGCAATATTATTCTTGTTTTTTGATTGGGTGTTAGATAGCTTAGAAGTTTCTCGTTTCGGGAACCTTCAGCAAAACGTTGAATCAGTTCCGATACCTTCGTTTGCTATATCATGCTCCTGACTTTATACAGCTATTAGCAGGTTAAAGAACTATTAGGTAACCGTAAGGCGTTTTTACAGCTACAAAACTATCATTAATAAATGGTATGACATGCGTCACATGCAGATATCCAAGCAGTTCCTTCATATAACCAGTAATACGCTTTCAGGGGTGTACAGGTGGGGTGTTGAAGATGTCCATTTCCGCTTTTTTTAAGGGATGTTATTTAAAGGAATGAACACAGGACATTTTTCGATTTTTGCGGCGGAGGCAAATGCTACCGCAACGTAAGTTTTGTTTTTAAACGGTTGTGAAATAAAAACGTATAAACCTTTATTTGGCAGTTTCCTCTGCAGGACCTCTTTCAGAAGTCACAATTTTTCAATGCATGGCAAAAGATTGAATGTCAAGATTTCAGGACAAGCAATTATTCATTGTGGAAAGTGTTAACATTGAATGGCGAAGACATCTCGTCTTTCTGGGAAATGTTTCTTGGGATTACACTATGGATGGTCATTTCATATGTATTTGTTTATATTGTTGTTGCATTGATTTCAATGATTATGTTACGAAATCATCCATGGATGTTTATTTATGCAGCTTCTATATTTGGTTAGTTCTGAATTCCATTGCTTAGTGAATATGGTTCTTTTTCTTTCATTAGTATCACCTTATTGTCCATTTTACTTGATTATTTCCCATTCCCTCATTTTCCTTTACTCTCAGATTAAATCACTTCATATTTATTACATCCTGTCGGATGTTGCACTATTCGTTTTTTTCTTCCATTGAAGACGAGTAGGTCATTCCATCTAGTGTTTGTGTACTTTTCTGTACTTTTCCTTTTGATTATATTGATATTTTCGACTGCACTCACTTTTTGCAAAAATTCACATGAATGTGTGGAATTATTCAACGACATCAGTATGATGGTTGCCTTGCTTAGGAAATTATTTGATTGGGTCGAATTGAGATGTACATGCTCCCAAAGCAAAAGGGCTTGAGGTAATCCACTTATTAGGCATAACGTAGAAACTCCTTGTTTTCATTCACTTTTCATTCATGATATTCTTTTTGTAAAGAATAATGCAACAAATCAACTGTTGAACTTATGCTAGAGAGTGAGGGCTTTCCAGATATTCACTGCACTGCATCTCCTAATGGTTCGTCTACACTATTTGAAGGAGGCCGATGAAATTAGTCCAAACATGCTTAAATCCATTAACTAGCTTAGGTCTTGAACGATTACTGATTATATACGGTACTGTCTGACATTAATGACCACCGTTTCGCCATCAACTGCAGATACTGGGAATAATTTGATGTCTGCCTAAATTTCAGATTTAACAGTTCTAATTTGCTCAGACATTCATTCATGGTAAAATTTCAGGGATGGCAATATTAGGCCCAGCAACTGTTGGTGCGTTAACAAGTGCTTCGATAGCACTGATGTTTACGTCGGCTGATAAAGCAATTAGTTGCTGGCACTGCATGATGCTTGGTTCAGCACAAACACTTGCCGTCGTGATTATCAGTTTCTCAAGGATATTAGCTACTCTCTAATCACTTCTTTTTTTTGCGGAATCGACGATGTATAAATATGAATTTGTGTGGTCAGTTTGTGATGTGTTGCTGTTTTGGCTGCGGATACAGCGTCCTGTTTTCTGATTTGAGAAAGGTTTTACGTCCTGCATTTGAAATGCTGAAATTTCTAGTAGGCAGTCAAATCTTTCTCATGCAACTTTATATAAAGATTTCACTCACATTCGTGGTGGCTCATTTTTGGATTTTTTGGAATTCCAGAATTGATATTTCTTCTGAATTTTTTTTCGTTTTCATTTCCTTGGAGCGGAGATAAGTTACTTGGGGAAAATATGATTCAGTCGATGAAACCTAGTAAAATCATCTAGTAGTTCATGTCTTCCATCATTGTTTGAACGGGGAACTGCATCGTTCATGTGGACCTGGATTATATTATTGTACTTGATGATGAGTTTCAATTCTTTTTTTCCATTATCATTGCTAATTTTCTCTCACGTTTTTTCGTATCCACTATAGTTCCTGCTGTTGTGCTTAAAAACCACTTTTTCTTGTTTTTACGACATTGTTGCTCATTTTAAAGATAGTTTTCCGAATTATGAGAAGAAGTGCAAAGTTGAATGTTTCATTCAATTTTGCATTTCCGAACATTCTCCAATTAAAGCAAAGCAAAATATCCTTTGTTAGATTTATGAAAAAGATTACATTAATTCCATAGTTGCTTAATTTTAACTTTTTAACATAGTTAAAATACAAACAGTTGTTTTGGACATTCTAATTATAGAACAGTAATTCTGATGAACAATCAAATCATTAATTTTTGCCGGCTGAATAAACTTTTTGATCTGAAGATTGAAGTGTTCCCCAAAATGTATTACTCGAAGTAGCATTCTATTTATGGACTGTTGCTGTTGTTGTTGATCTAAGTTTGATTTCTTGGACATCGAAGCACATCATTTTAACAGTTCAAAGGTTTCTTTTTATTCGCGGTAGAGTAAATGAAATCGATGTATAACGGAGGAGTGGATATAGATGGGCATTTTACTCTTGAATTTCTAAATTTCTTGCTATCGGATTTCCGGGAAAAACTGTTTCGAACTTTTTGTGTTGTACACAGTCAATTCTTGGTAGGAATTCCTTCATTCATTTAATTCTAGGCAGTGCTGGATGTTGTCCGAATTTTGTTCTGAGTGCGGCACAGTGCTTCCATTACCAGCTACTGCCCCGGTTACCATTACGTGTAGTTACTGCCGGACGCAGTGGCATATCAAACGTTGGTATTTCTGGCAATAGGTGCAATGTGACATTTGATTGCGATAGGCACTGATATTTTTGATGTCCCTCAAATAGATATCCGGTGATAGTTTCCCATGCAGACTATCATGATCAGACAACAGTAGATGTCTGATCATGAAAAGATTGCTGGGAGATTATCCGCATGGAAAATTAGAGTCAGGGAGATGTACCGAAAATAAGCTAACTTTCTTATTTAGTTAATATAAACAAACTCTTAAATCATATAATTAGTATCTGACACTTTCCATTCCTCCCCAGGATAACCAGAACTACGGTCAGCACAAAGCACCTCCTATAAAGCGTACCTGACTAAAGGAAGTTTATAATGCTGTCGGTAGCTTTTTTTATAATGCTTTTTATTATAATGCTTTTATAATTATAATGCTTTTTTAATTATAATGCACCAATTATAATGCTTTTATAATGCTTTGTCGGTAGTTTCCTTCTCATTGATTTAAATTTGCAGCCATTCGAAACAAATTGGTGTATAGGTCCGAGAAGATATACCAGAAACGTATGATGGATGCCAAAGAAGGTGCATTGGAAAACCCTGTTGTGGATAAAATTTGTGATAAATGTGGCCATGGCAAGATGAGCTATGCATGTAGACAAACACGATCTGCTGACGAAGGACAAACAGTATTCTATATGTGTTTGAAATGCAATTATAATATGGTGGAAAATGCATGAAACTATAAATTTATATATAGTAATTCGTGCGATTAAGGAACGAAAACAATAAAATATACTTAAGACCAACGGGGAGCGCTTTTTTAAAAGACTGAAATTGGTACGCTCTGAAACAGCTTTGAAATATGGTAGAATAATACTAATCCGTGAAACATAAAAGCGTGATCCAATATCGAGAAATCTAGTTCTCCATTCTCTTCCCAAAGCGTCTTTTTTTTCAAAACTATAAAGTCGCTCTTCCTAAACTGCAAAATATTAAATCCCTCTTCCTTTTCCCAAAATAAAAAGTGTAAACAACTGATTGTTTAAATGGACCAAGCCAATAAGAACGAATATTATAACTTAAAGCTTGAGCATCTTCAGATTTCAAATTTCCAACATCCGAAGAAAATCTTGGGGGTGATTATTTAATCGCACTTCTGAGTTATGATCTGATATGACGAATATGACTGCCGGTATCGTAAATAAGAAACTAAACGATAGGACAAAAAAAGTATTATACTCAAAGCAGCCGCGACATAGCTAGCGATAACAGTTTTCTCATTCGGTAGAAAGCATTTGTTGACTTGAATATAATCGGGCATTACAGTGACAAGAAGAAACGCGGGTTGTGGGATATTTCGCCACGAAAACGATGATAATGTCCATTCATAAATATTGTACGGCGATGGCCACCTGGAATATATACTAATCTAGATGTATCTTGAAACCACTATTCCTAAATATATCCGATAATACATGCTTACTAAGGAAAACGCAATAACAAATGATATTTTTCTTCAAATATCGCGAATTAATTTTTCGAGATAACAGAATTTTGAGGTAAGAACTTACAAATTATTTAGAATTTAGCGAGACCAGAGTTTACAAGCTAAGCCAAACAAATAACCTCAAAACATGTTTCGTGTAAGGAATTTTAAGAATTTTTAAGAGTATGTGAAGATTTGTCCCACAAGGATGGTTTAAGGAATAGGTTTGAGTCAGATTTTGGAAATAGAACCCACCAAGTTCGACAACTATAATGCGTGTGACCATTAAAAATAGCACGAGGTTTCAGCTTTTCCAAGATGTAGTGGGAAGAAGCATTGGAAAGGCAATCAATGCCAACATGAAAACGATTCGATTTTATTGATTCTGGAGTTGCGTCATAGTCATCCGGACAGTTCGCATCACTTTCCCTGAATTTCAAAAATTGTATGGAAGTTATGGAAATTTTTTCTGAACGATTCCAAAATCTACGCATAACTTGTCCTCGAGAAAATATTTGTAATTTCCAGTTGAGCAAGCTGAGAGAAATTTCCATTTGGAAATGAATAATATCGAGAAAAACAAGGAATATCACGAAAACGGTGCACATATCTGATGATAATGACAAATAGAAACTGAGAAATATCTAAAACAGAGAAACTGGCATAACTTTGTCAATCGTATTTCTTGATACATTAGAATGAATGATTTAAAAAACAAAAGTAAAAACTTTGAATTTCGTTGGAATTCACCTATACAACGGAATGTGAAGTAGCAGGACAGGTCTTGAATGTATGTTGCATACTGTTATATTTTTGGTACAATCAAAACTTCGACTTAATTCCTCAATTTGACGTTCAGCAGCGGTGCAGAGGGAACAACCATCACGCTCAATCGTCATCGAATTTAGTAATGTAAAATGATTCCCACCGATAACAATGTGATCCGCAAGTGACCGTGAAAAATGCGTCGAAAGAAACTGGAGTCGTGCTGGACTGATCCTAATCGAATGAAGCTTTTGGAATTTTTATACTTAAGAATACGAGAACGTCTTGAAGTATGAACTTTTCAAATATTGAAGAATTACAAAAATGACATTTTCTAAATCTGCCGACATTACAAAATGAGAATAATATCCGGTTCATTTTATTCTATTTGATTTGCTACTTTATTACTGTTAGTAAACTAACATAGTTTCCACTGGATCTCAAGCTATAATTATACTACACCACCACGTCTGTAATCTGGATAAGTTTAATGTATGCTACGACTAATTACTAACAGGAAAAAGAAGCTGAAATTAAACTGAAAGGAATTAGACAGTTGGTAAAAGACATATATAATTGGCCGAAAAAGTAAAACTATAATTTTAGTTTTAAGACCTTGTGTAATGTAAATTCCTCAGAATTTGATAAACTCGAATGATCACGAAGCATTATGAAGCTTACTGATCATGGAATCCAATATCATGATTACCCAAAAGACAATGCCTCTCGACATCTTTAGGCACATAAAAGAGTTCGTTGAAACGATTTAGATAAATCAGAAGCTCCTTCTGATTACTTATGATACCTTCATCAAACAAATCACCTGAAACCATTTTTTTTTCTCTCACAAAAATCATTCCAAAAATTTCGAGTCCATTTTGAAAAAAATCAAAAAATTCACTCCACTATTTCTCTGCAAAATAATTTCTCTACCAAAAATTGCGGTGGTAAACAATCTTATTAAAATCTTTTGAAAAAAAGACATGCTAAGAAAAATAATTCGGCATAACATTTTGCTCGAAATCGACTAAGTTACCTACTTCATATAATTTCGGGTAATTCGCCTATACATTTGGAATAAGTAAATCTCAAATATGAAAAGACCGATGTTGATGATTATTTCTAATGCTCCCGATAATTATAGAGCTAGTAGAACTTATTCTTATTGACCCCAACTGTATATTTAAGAATTGGATATTCATATCGAATATATGTATTTAAAATATGAATATATATATATATATATATATATATATATATATATATAT